CACCAGAAATTATGAATAATCACAACTTCCCAACTTGCTACAAACTTAAGAGTAAGAGTAACTTGAAGCCCCATTGAACTCCCTTGGTGACAGCAGTCCCACGTGTTCCTTCACGTTGGCCTTCTGAATAAAGTTTCTTTCTTTGCCTCAACCTATCATTCTGTGAGCTATGTTGAACAGAACTTGGACCCAGATTTGTGGTTTTAAGACTCAGTGCCTTCCCTCCTGGCCTTAGGTACAGTTGTGAAAGGGGTGGAGCAAGGCTGGGGCAGCCCTGTCTGCCTTGGCCTCACTCAGGGATTACACACCTGCTCCCGCAGGCAAGACAAGGCTGGGCAGGAGCAGGAAGCTCTGCTGACAGGACAGTGCAGGTGATGATGCAGCAGGGACTCCCCGACTGCCATCAATCAGCCCTCGATTTCTCATCACTGCAAACTGCCAGCACTGAGGAGACGGAAGGAGGCTGGGCCAGGTGTCTAGGTCATGGGAGAGCAAGACCTGGGGCCAGTGAGGGCAGAAAACTGGGCTCCGTGGGTCCAAAAGGCCTCAGGTATGGGTGGAGTAGGAGGCTGCTTTGGTAGTGTAAGCCAAGGGGGTCCCAGAGCTCCCACTCCCACAACTCAAAATGTCATCACTAGGCCTGAAACTCTGCCATTAAAGCCCAACCTTCGGTTAAAAATCGTCCTCCCTCTATTGCTCAATTGCCCCTCCTGACTCAGCCTCTCACCCCTCCTAGCTTGCTTCTGACTGCAGCTAAGGCCGAGGCTGCTGCCAAATTGCAGGGTTTAACTTTTGCCTTGTGTTTAAGTGTTTAAGAACTTTGTCTCAGAGGAGAAGCTGGGGCTGGTTAAAAAGCTCCCTGGTCTCCCACCCAAAGGCATGGACTGTCCTCTGCATGGGGCAAGGGAATGCCCCCTCTGCTGTGAGTGGGAGCAGAAGCCAGGTCACCGGACAAGGTAGAACCACTGGCATCTCCCAAAACACATGGGAACAGCGCTCCAGTCACTTGAGTGGGCCTAGATTTTTTCCATTTAATCCAATAAATAAATACATTGTGAGAGCTCACAGTTGGAAGACCAGATAGGGAAGCATGGGGGTAGCGAGGGATACAGTACAGAACTGGAGAAGGTGGTCTCCACCCTCAAGGGACTTATGGGCCGGAGAAGAGAGGGACTCAGGCAGAGACCATAACCCCACCAGGCAGCTTATAAGGACCAAAAGGACCCAGAACCCTAAGGAGGGAGAAGGTCCCTTTAATGGGGGGTGGAAGAGATGGGAATGGTAGGTTAGAACCAACACTATGACACTACAGCTACTAACAACAACAGGAGGAGGATAGGAGTTCCTGGGGGACGCAAATACTGAAGAGCGTGACAACTAACCCAAGGTTTGGAGGTTCCAATCCACCCAGAGGTTCCTGAGAAGACAGGGGTGAGGATCTTCTGAAAAATCAGCCATTGAAAATTCCATGGAGTGCAGTTCTACTGTGAGACAAACGGGGGGACCATGTGTTGGAATCAACTCAATCTCAACTGGTTTGGTTTGATTTGGAGGTTCCAGTAGAGGAAGAGGGAGCATCGAGCTGGACTTTGCAGGAGGGAGAGCAATCTATGCAGATAAGGGACCCTGGCAAGCTCGAGGAGTGGTAATAGGCCTGGGGACAGCATTTGATCTGAATGGGACAGTCAGAGATGAGGTTGCAAAGCCACCTTGGAGTGGCTCAGCCTGACAAGACTGGCCTTTGTCCTGTGGTGGCAGGGAGCTGGGAAAACACTGGATCAGCCCTGACTCCTTAGTTACAAGGTGTGTACAGGCTCAGCCTCACATGGCACATGAACTGTAGCCCAGGTCAGGATGCTGCCACCAGTGTGGTTAGCCAGGGGTCCAGCACTCCCAAGCCAAAGGCAGTGTCTCTGCCTTGCAGGCCCTCTTGACACTTGCCCAGGTGGGATTCCTGCCCTGTGTTTGAGGGCCACACGGCACAGACCCAAGAGTGTAGAGTCATAAGTACCACTTCCTCCTACCAAAGCTTGGCTGCCATGTGAGTGCCCATTAGTGCTCAGCCATAGCTGCCCCAGTGCCTTGGAGCCTGGGAGGTCTAACAGACTGCCATTTACTCTCTGGCTCCTGGTCTCTTGTAGCACCCAGTGTTGGAACAGAAGGTCTAAGGAGAAAACAGTCCCAGGAACTAGACCTTTCAAATCAACTATGTGTGGAGGGGAGAGAGGTGGGACCTGGGACAGGATGTGGAAAGAGGAAAGGGCAGCATCTGGATGTTTTTACCTCCAACAAACCCCCAGAAGCTGGGATGTCAGGCAGCTCCTAGGCCTACTGGCTTGACCAATGCACCTCAATTGTGCTCCAAACTCACCAGATTGAGATCAGAGCAGTAACCTCAGTCAGTCAGTGTGTCTGTCTACACAATGCAGTGGCTACTCCCTATCTGTTGAGGACTACAAAACAGTTTACAGGAAGATGCACCAAGTGGACAGTCAGAGACCCTCCCCACTCCTCATCTCCCAAATGCTGCAGGCACGTTAGCCTAGGTGACAAGCCCAGCCCACGTGTTGTATCCTCCCCCAGGTGGAGGAGGGAGAGAAGGGGTCTCTGTGGGATGAGTGTAAGCAGGGCAGGGCTGGACCTTGACCTGCTCTGGGAAATATCTGACTCAATGCAGTCAAGGTAAGAGGTTGGGAAGGAGAGCCAGGCAGAGCAGCAGACTGGCCCTATTCCTAGTTAGACAGGACCCAGTCTAGGAGAGGGTAAGTCTGCATCCTGGCAGGCCACACGGGTCCCTGTGCTAGGAGGGCTCAACAGCCTCCTTACTGGGGACCCTGGGTCATGGTTCATCCTGCTTCCAGGTGATAGAGGAAGGGACATGGTGGCAGACAGACAAAATGAAACAAAGAAAGAAGAAAAAAAAAGAAAAGAAAAGAAAGTGAATATACCAGTTATACGTGTGTCCTTTAAACAACTACAGATTTATGCAAAAGGTTGTGATCATTCATTTGACCGAAGCACGCCCACAGGATTCTTTTCAGCTCTAAATAATTCTAAAGCAGACCTATTGGCAGTAGCTTGTGGCCATTTGACATCCCCACAGCATTATCTGAGGGTGGTGCCCAAGCAAAGCAAGGGATCCACAGAGGTTCACAGCAGAGTCTGCCACCTAAGGGAGCAGAGGGCTCCAGGTGACCAGGCCCACAACAAGAAGCAAGAAGCCCTGGACCTCCCTCTGACCTAGGGACAGGCTGCCATGCCCTGTCTATTCTCTGCCAGACAGTCTGGCCTTTTGAGCCAGACTGCCTGGGGTCAGATCCAGACAAGACTGTTTATTGGCTGTGTAACCTTACTAACTGTCCAGGCCTTGGTTTTCTCATCTATAAAATGGAGCTAATGATAGCCACTTCATCGGGCTGGAATGAGGCTTAAAGTTGTGACAACGCATGTCAAGTACTTTGCATAAACACTGTACATCTTGGTGGTCTCATTGGAAGCTGATGGATAAGGATGCTACAGGGGAACAGGACTGCCGTAGCTTGCTTCACACAAGGGCACCTTGTCAACCAGCCCCCAGGCTCCTCTGCTGGGCCTCAGTTGTGGAGGCAGACAAGGTGCTGGAGAACTTGGAGATGGAGGGTCCAGGTGTTTCCTCCAGATATACGTCTCACAGCAGGGCCAAAACCCCAGCCTCAGCCAATGTCATCCGTCCTTTCATGAACCTGTGTGCAACAATTCTGTGCCCAGGCAGCTCATTCCACACTCCACACACATGAACACTATTCAGCCAATGTCTGGGACAGATCCTTTATCTGGACCATTTGCTCCTTAAGTTCTATCCCATAAAGCAGAGGTCAAAAAACTTTTCTGTAAAGGCTCAAATAGTAAATATCTTATCCTTTGCAGTCCATTTGGTCTCTGTTGAAGCTAACAACTCTGCCATTATAGAGTGACAGTGGCCACAAACAAAACATAAACAAATGACTGTGGCTGTGTTCCAATAAAACTTTATTTACAAATACAGAAGACAAGTTGGATTTGGCCCATGGAACACAGTTTGCTGACTATAGTAAGTTCATACATGAGGAAGTGCCTTCACCCACAGGTAACAACTAAAGAGTAACCAGAGGCTCCTTGCCACATGGAGTAGTGCACACAGACACACAAACACACATGTACACACATACACATGCACACACAGAGACCACACAAAGCCAATCGCCATGCCAAGCCCAATGCCTGCTACAAAGTTCACACTTTACGTACATATATTTATTTGATGAATAACAAGATGGTTAAGGGTGAATGCAGGGGAGCAGGTCTGTAGTTGCTACAAATGGAAGGTCATTGAAAAATTCTTGCCATGTAGCTTTGGGATGTGGTTCTGTACTTTTATTTGAACAGCAGTGGAGTTAGTATTTCTGGAACTATGATGTATCACACAGAAGAATGAAGTTGCTCTGACAAAAAACTGACTCTGGAAGTGCTGGGAATGGGAGCACCTCCCTCCCCCACAATCTCCTGGGCACAGATGATGGCATTACACCCAGACCACTCTAGTCAATGAGATAGTATGCAGAGAGGAGAGAGAGGCTTCATTATGTTACATCAAAGGAAACATTTTGTTCTAAAGGTGTTTGTTCTAAAAGGTGTTTTCACTTACTTTTACTCCCAGTAATATAAAACCAAAGAGAACAAGGGCATAATATGTCAGTATGGATTTAGCATTCACACTATTTAATAACATCAGTAAAAAGCTGAAAGCAAGAGCATTTCCTGTTGGGAGATTCACTCAGGAACATGAGGTTGGATGCACATCTCTTGGTTATTTCCAAGGAGGAGGGATATAAGACCCCCAGCCTTGCTCCAACGCTCTCACAGCCTGGGGTAGATGCAGACTGGGTCAGACTGCTGACAAAGCCCTAGGGTTCCCTAAAAAGCCCCCTAGAGGCAGGGGGTATCATAAGGCCCAGTACTGAGAGCACCCTGTATGGGCTCCCTCACTTGTCCCCGAAAGCAGCGGAATCCCTGAAGACCTCAGCATCTTCTGGCTTAAGGGACCCAGCAAAGTATCTCAGGTGGACCTCTTCAGGCTGAGCAGCAGCCTTTTCTCGAGTACTTGTATCTCTTAAAAGAGGAACCAGGGCAAAGTTCTTCCAGGTCCTCCCTGCAACTTAAGGGTAAAACATCATTACTGCTTTGGATGCAATAGACAAATAAACATTTACTTGTTGGCCTCACAAATCTCAAGATTAAAGGTGGCCCAGGTAGGCTGGGAGCTTCCTAAGGCACAAGGATCAGTACAATTCCCACTTGCCTTGGCTGCTTGAGGTGCTTCAGCCACTCTGATAGCTCCTTAAACTCCCCTCCCTAGCCCTATCTGACTCAGTTGTGACCTCACACAAGAGTACATCACTTGTTTCTCTCAGCCTCTATTTTCTTCCTGCCCAAGTCTACACAGAGCAATATTGGAGCCTGCCCCTTGAGTGGCTCAACATGGAGTCAGCTCTGGGGTGATGAACATTAGCCAAAGAATCAGGATTTGGCCCCCAGGCCCCATCAGGGTAGAGCAGATTGGGAACAGTATCAAGGGCACAAAGGTGATATGATACTGGGCCTTGAATGAATGGGGGCCTCAAATTTGGGGCCTGAAATTCTAGGAAGCTCCTTGAGGAGGATACAGTTGTCACCCCCACCACCATCTCCAGCTTCTTGACAGCCCAGAGAAATGATAGCCAAGAGAGAAAGCGCTCCTTCCATTTTCCAGAGCCCTGAGCAGCCAAGCCCTCTGGCTGGCCACCTTGGGTCTGATGTCTGAAAACTCAGCTTCAGGCCACAATCCAGACCGCTCTGCTGGGATCCAACACCAGCCTCATCTCAAAGGTGTCAAGACCAGAGACTGACTGGGATCTTAAAAGCTTGCAAGCTGTCGTCTAGATGCAACAATGGGTCTCTCCTCGTCCAGAGCCAAGAAGAATGAAGAAAACCAAAAATTCATGGAAACAATTAGTTCTACCGACTGGTATACCATCTGATCTGCAGCCTATATGACTGACTATGAGACCTGAAGAAGTAGATGGTGCCCAGCTACCACTGTCAACCACTCAGAAGGGGATCTATGAAGGAGATCCTGGATAGAGAGGGAGAACAATGTGGAACAAAACTCACAATCATTTGGAGAAAAAAAAAGAGGGGGGGGACCAGGTTTGCTGGTCTGATAGAGCCTGGTGGAACCACTGAGACTCTGGCCCCTAGCTGCCCTTCAGGTCTGGAACTGAACCCACACCTGTGACTTCCAGCCAAACAAAAGACGGGTATGAGTCGAACATTTATCTGAGGTAGATACACTCCTTGGAGAGAACAATCATGGGAGAAGGAAGGGCTGTTTATGCACAGGGAGACAGCTCAGGGGGCAGGAGTACATGGAGGGATGGACACAGGGAAGAGGTAACTATCAGGAGGAAGAGGGGAGCAGTTGCATTGTGGTAAATTGTGGTCAATGTCATGAGACAAAGTGTATGTGAACTACTGTATGGAAAGTGAATTTGCTCTGTAAATTTTCACCCAAATCACAATAAAAAAAAAAAAAAAAGAAAAGAAAAGAATGCCAGAGACTGGTTTCATGGTGACTACCCCAGCCACCTTCTCTAGGTCTGATATCTCCACCAAGCCTGCAGGAAGAGCTACAACAGGCCAGAGCTTCAACACTGGCCTGTGCTCTAACCCCAGTTTCACACTGGGCATTAATTGTTAAAGAAGGATCCCTTGGGCAGGAGGGCTCAATGGGGAACAGGCCAGGTGCTCACTGGGATACCATCTACTGGCTCCCTGGGTGGTGGAGACATCCAGCCTCAAGGATTGCTTGGCCTAGCCCCAGCTCCAGGGCCCTCAAGGAGGTATGGGACTCCAAGTGCCTACTCCCCATCCCACAAGTCCTGACGCCAAAACGCCTCAGATGAACTCTGCAGCTTCTCCATTGACCACTTTTCTTCCCTGGCCTTTCTTTCATGCATTTTCTCACCCTCCCAATTACATGCAGTGTGGGTGGGGAGAGGTCTTTGCTATCTGAATTATCTGATTATTCATTATTTATTAATATTGAGGGAAAATTGTTACAGGGGTTTCCACTGTTAAAAGTTGGATAGGAAAGCAAAATCCTCAGGAAATATTCACTAATTAATTAAAAGTGTAAAATCAGAAGCCGCCAGCCATCCTCTGCTCCCCACCCCGATTAACAGAAATGTGTATATCCCTACCACTGCACCAGTGTCTTTATTAATCTCACAGTGAATGTGCACCGCTATAAACAGCCAAAACTGTCATGCAAACATAATGCACACAAAGTGAAACGGCAAATCTTGTAAAAGATATGGAATTTTATGAAACCAACGAGTAATGTCAGAAAACTGCTCAAATCACATGCAGAGCCTTCTTCGAATGGCTCTCTGGTAAAGTTAGAACAACTAGCAGTTGAAGAAAGACAGTCAGTAAGTATGTTAACATGATACCAGGACTGCTTCCAATGAGACTTGTGAGAAAATCACAAGACTGCAGGAGGCCTTCGGGAAAACCAATGAAGCCCTTGAATAATTTTCCAAAACTGAGCCTCTTAATAAAATAAATTTCCATTTCCAGTTATGATGAAATAACTAGTATTGGGCTAGCCAACAAACATAAAACTGGACAAAATACACAGAGAACATTTTCAGGTATAGGACAACAGGCAGAAAAACTATAATCCCAAGAGAAGTGAAATTCACAGGTGAACCCTGTGATCGCCCTGACTCCCTACTTAGAAATGATTTTCCCGACATGGTGCAGTGAGCTGGAGTTCAGAAGAGCATGGCTGTTTCTCTGAGCTGAGGATGAGGAGATGAGACTTTGGGAAAGCTGAAGCAGTTAGAATTTGTGAGGCAGAGCACAGGAGAAGAAAGAGGAAGATGAAAGCTGCTCAAAGAGACCCAGAGATCTTTGGGCAGAGGTCCCCACAAGTCTGATGGAGAGTTGAGCTGTGCTCACACAAGGTGAGACTGTGTGAAGCTTATCATAGAGTGGCTGCTGCAGGATTGAAGGTGGAACATAGACACTAGAGATTTAGCAGTGCTACAACAACAACAGGGGATACTGAGGAGCTCTGGTGGCGTAGTGCCTAAGGCATTTGACTGCTAACCCAAAGGCTGGTGGTTCAAACTCACCAGCCATTCCTCGGAAGGAAGGTTGGGCCATCTACTTCCGTAGTGATACTGCCTCAGAAACCCAAGGAGGGGTTGCTATGAGTCAGGTCCGACTCCACAGCAGTGTGTTGGGTAGGGGATACTGAAGGAGCTCTGGTGGCCCAGTGTCTAAGGCATTTGACTGCAACCAGAAGGTTGGCAGTTTAAACTCACCAGGCACTCCATGGAACGAAGATGGGGCAATCCACTTCCATAAAAATTTACCGCCTTGGAAACCCAGTGGGGGTCACTGTGAGTCTAAATCAACTTGATGGCAGTGAGTTTGGTTTCTTTTGAGGGGATATTGAAGTCTAGCCCAATCACTGTGGAGATACTTGCTAATTGTTCTTTAAAGACCCTGAAGATCCAGCCAAGATACCAGGAAACTCTCACTTAGGAGTCAGGACTATGCCTCAAAAAGACCTACCCACCCTAACACAGCCTAAAACCGAGCCCTGACAAGATCCTCAGTGGATATCGTGTGGAAGTTGAGTATCACAAGTGTGAGGGGCTTGGAAAATACCTTGAAGTTGCCACAGATAAACCATAACAAGTATATAACTAAGCCTGCACAAGTTCAAGGTGATTCGTCAGTAACTGAACTGCCAACTAGAAAAAAAGAAAATTAGTACTCTTTAAAGGATGGTATCAGAATCCAGAATCTCTACAACGTATCACCCAGAATGTCTAAGATATGGCATAAAGTTACTAGACATATAAAGAAACAGGGAAGGGTTTGCCATAGTCAAGAAAGAAGAAGTCAGTAAAAAGTGACCCCTAGACTGCTAACCAGAAGGCTGGCGGTTCAAACCCACCAGCCACTCCTCGGAAGGAAGGTTGGGCAATCCTACTTCCGTAGTGATACTGCCTCGGAAACCCAAGGAGGGGTCGCTATGAGTCGGGGGTCGACTCGACGGCACATAACAACAACAACAACAGATGATCCATATGTAGCAGACTAAGAATTTAAAAGTAGTTATTATGAATGTGTTCAAAGAGCTCAAGGAAAATATGCTCTTAATGAGATAGGAAATCTCAACAGAGCAGTAGAAACTATAAAAAAGAAACAAATAGAAATTCTAAAACTGAATAACACAATAACTGAAATGTAAAATTGACTGAATGAGCTTAATAGCACTTTGAAGACAGCTGAATAAAGGGTTAGTGAACTTGAAGACCAAAAACAACCAGAAAACCAAACTCACTGCCATCAAGTCGATTCCAACTCATAGTGACCCTATAGGGAAGAGCAGAACTGCCCCATAGGGTTTCCACGGCTATAAATCTTTACAGAAGCAGACTGCCACGTCTTTCTCCCACAGAGAGGCTGGTGAGTTCAAGCCGCTGACGTTTTAGTTAGCAGCCAAATGCTTTAACCACTACACCACCAGAGCTCCTTACTTGAAGACCAAGCAATAGAAAATACTAAATTTGAAGAATGGAGAGAGAAAATATAATTAGCAAAAGTGAACAAAGCCTCAGCGACCTGTGGGACAATGTCAAATGATCTGACATACATGTAATTGGAGTCCCAAAAGGAGAGGAAATGTTTGGGGAAAAAAAAAATGGCTAAAAGTTTCCCAAATTTGATTTTAAAAATATTAATGTACAGACAAGAATTTCAGTGAACCCCAAGCAGAATAAATACAAAGAAAACCTTACCTATTACATATTATTCAAATTGCTGAAAACCAAAGGTAAGGAGAATATTTTTAAAGCAGCCATAGAAAAAAAGATGCATTACATACATGAGAACAACAGTATAAATAGGAAATGACTTTGCATCAGAAAAAATGAAGGCTAGAAAACAGTAAAGAAATATAATCAAATTGCAAAAATTTAAATTAAAAGAAAAATTCTTAACTGGAACCCAGAATCCTATATTTAGTGAAAAGATTTTTCAAAAAATGAGGATGAAATTAAAACATCTTCATATAAACAAAAGCTGAGGTAAAACTAATCTGTAAAAATATAAATCAGATTAATAGTTATCTGGGATGGGGAGAATGGACTTGGTTTTAAAGAGGGATGAGGAAACCTCCTAGCACAATGGAAGGGCCTTGTTTCTTATTGGAGGTGGTCGTTGCCTGAGTATATACATTTGTCAAAACTCATCAAACTGTACATTTAAAACATTACATTTCATTGTCTGTGTATCATACCTCAATAAAGTTACTTTTTAAGTATGTAAAATAAAAATTTGGGCTTCTCTATAAAATCATATCAAATATGTAAAATGAAATATTGTTATCAGGCAAATTGGTCTGAAAATCATGCCCACTTCTACCAGCACAATTAATTCTTTGTCCATTTTAAGAATTAGTGAAGAAGTTATAATTATAACTAAAATAAAATAAGTATAAACTATTTTTGCTTCATTTTCAAGGTAAGATTAAAGGTGTTTAATTAAACTTTTAATTTACTGTTTACTGTTAAATATTTGAGGAGCTCTGGTGGCACAATGCCTAAGGCATTTGACTGCTAATCAGAAGGCTGGTGGTTCAAACCCACCAGCCACTCCAACTCAACGGCAGTGCATTGCGTTGAGTTGTTGGTGGCATAGTGCCTAAGGTTCAAACCCACCAGCCACTCCGCGGAAGGAAAACTGTGCAATCTACTTCCATAAAGATTTACCACCTCAGAAACCCAAAGGGGATCGCTATGAGTTAGAATCAATTTGATGGCAGTGAGTCTGTTTTGTTGTTGTTAAATATTTACCATTTATTATTAATTGACTTTTTTTAATTTCCTGGTAGTAATTATCCTCAAGGTTTTTCTGCTCAGGATGTAAACTTTACTCTCTTCATTCTTCCCTCCTCTCTTGCATGCCTCAATGTGCCCACATAAGTGTTTACATGTACCTGTTTGTGTCCATATAGGCTCACAGAGGTATGAGCTCAGACCCGAGGTGTGAGGAACAGAGAAGAGGAGGCAGCACAGCCCACAGCTAGGCTGTCTACCCCACGTGACTGAATGTAGGGCCAGCTACTTCCTCTGGAGCACTGGGAACAGGTGCTCGGGTCGGGGTGCTGGGCAGAGCTGGCCTGCACGGGTAGATGAAGCAGTCAGCAGTACAGGCGTGTGTAAGAGCACACAAGAAAGCCCATGACCGATTTTTAAAGCTTGCAAGCAGCCATCTAGAAGCAACAATGGGTCTCTCCTCATCCAGAACAAAGAAGAATGAAGAAAACCAAAGCCGCATGGGAAATAATTAGTCCAAGGGACTGGTAGCCCATGTGATCCTCAGCCTATATGACCAGGAGACCAGAAGAACTAGATGGTGCCTGGCTACAGCTGTCAACCATTTGGAGGGGGATCAGTGCAGAAGATCCTGGATACAGTGGGAGAACAATGGGGAACAAAACTCAAAATCATAAAAAAAAAAAAAAAAAAGACCAGGTTTGCTGGTTTGATAGAGCCTGGTGAGATCTGTGAGACTATGGCTCCTAGCTACCTTTCAGCCTAAAACTGAACTCACTCCTGTGGCTTCCAACCAAATAACAGACAGGCATATGGGCTGAACATTTGCATCAGGTAGATACACTATTTGGAGCAATCAATCATGGGAGAATAGAAGGGCAGTGTATGCACAGGGAGACTTTCATGGAGGTGGGAGTACATGGGAGTGAAGGACACAGGGAAGTTAACTATGTGGAAGAAATGAGTAGAGAGCTGTTATACTGTGGAGAATTGCAGTCAACGTCATGAAACAAAATGTATATGAACTGCTGTATGGAAAATGAATTTTCTCTGTAAACTTTCACCCAAATCACAATAAAAATTAAAAAAAAAAAAAAAAGACTGCCCATGACAGAGTATATACATATGGTTGACATATGGGGTTTGTTATGAATTGAATTATGTCCCAAAAAAGTTACATCAAAGTCCTAACCCCTGTACCTATATATATGACCTTGCTTAGAAATAACCATTTTCTTTTGATATGTTAATAAAGTCATGTCAGCATAGAGTGGGTCCTAACCCTAATCACTATTAAAAGATGTGAAAATTACTCAACAAGTGAATGAATGTCAAGGAATGCCCAGAGTTACAGAAGCTGAGAGAGACAAGGGACATTCAAGGAATGCCCAGAGTTACAGAAGCTGAGAGAGACAAGGATCTTCCTCTATAACCCAGAGAGAGAGATAGAGAGAGAGAGAGAGAGAGCCTAACCCTGCTGACACCCTGAATTCAAACTCCTAGCCTTCAAAACTGAGAAAGAATAAATTTCTATTCTTTAAAGTCACCCACTTATGATATTTTTGGTTACACAGCACTAGGCAACTAAGAGTTGTTACAGTCACCAAGTCCTGAGGGGGTGAGTAAGGCCTGCAAAGAGTAGGAGACCCCCAAGGTTTCACCTGTCCACATTAAGCCACCAGTCATGTAGGCCCATCCATGTCACAGTGCCCCTCTTCTCACCCCTCACCTCTATGTGGCCGCAGAGAGAAGCTCAGAGTACGCTTGATGCCCTTACAGTTGCCAGGGTCTTCGTTGATGATGCCCACATTGGTGTTCCAGGTGGTCCAGTTCACCTCATCCACCCTGCAGGATAGAGGAAGGGGGAGCAGGGAGTTGGCAGCCAGGAGCCATGCCCAGCTTCTCAGGCCAAGGGCTTGGCCTCACAGATCAATCCCAAGAAGCTAATAGATCAAGATGGAGATGGAGACAGACCCAGTAGGACAAGAGCAGAGAGGGAGCTGCTTTTTGGACCCCATTCTTTTTTTTTTTTTTTTAATTTTATTTTGATTTGGGTGAAGATTTACAGAGTAAATTCACT